TGGTCCGAAACGTCCAGTTTGCAGGATGACTTCCTGCCAAGAGGCAAAGACAAAAATAGCAAGATTTAAACTCAGGTCGACAAAAACTCAGTTTGACTCAGCAAAACTCAGCTTGGCTAGAGTACCCAAAACTGGCAAACACTCTGGCATCGCGGTAGTGGCAGTTAGCAGCTTAAGAGCACTCTGTTAATGAGATAACCCTTTGCAGGTGTGTGAGGAGGTGAATCAGGACCAGGCGCCGCCTGGTGGAGGAAGGAAGACAAACACACAAAACACAAACCACACAGACAGGTGTCTAACATAATTAGCTAAATGGAAAGACTGCAATTGAAAAAAAATCTAATTTTCTGATAGGTAGTTACGCTTCTGTGAAGTGGTTTTCTGGTCGAAATGTTTGTATTTCACAAAACTGCAATGGAAACATTTTTCGTATCACAGGGGTCACGTGATCTGCAGCTGGACCCTACCAACTTGACAAAAGCAGAGGAAAAAGACCAGAAGTTGGAGGAGATGTATGGGTGATTGGCGGCCTGGTGGTTGGGGCAATGTGCTTGGAATCCAGGGGTTCTGAGTTTAAGCCCAACAGACTCCCACTCTGGGTCCCTGAGCAAAGACTCTTTAACCCCATACTGCTCCCCGGGCGCCGCACAATGGCAGCTTACTGCTCCCCAAGAGAATGGGTTAAAATGCTGAGAGTGAATTTCGTTGCTCTGTACTTGTGACAGTGTAGTGACAATAATAAAAAGGTCTTTGTGTTACATCTGTGTCTATCTCATTTGTTTACTTCCAAGTTATCGCATGAACATACGTATTCATAAGCAATTTGAATTCTGTTTGTTTTTTAATGGAAATACCACAATTGCAAAAGTTTGCCTTTTGGAACTTAGCTATATACACTCACCGGCCACTTTATTAGGTACTAGTAACGGGTTGGACCCCCTTTTGCCTTCAGAACTGCCTCAATTCTTGGTGGCATAGATTCAACAAGGTGCTGGAAGCATTCCTCAGGTAGTTTGGTCCATATTGACATGATGGCATCACACAGTTGCCGCAGATTTGTCGGCTGCGCATCCATGATGCGAATCTCCCGTTCCGCCAGATCCCAAAGATGCTTTATTGGATTGAGATCTGGTGACTGTGGAGGCCATTTGAGTACAGTGAACTCATTGTCATGTTCAAGAAACCAGTCTGAGAGGATTCCAGCTTTATGACATGGCACATTATCCTGCTGAAAGTAGCCATCAGAAGTTGGGTACATTGTGGTCATAAAGGGATGGACATGGTCAGCAACAATACTCAGGTAGGCTGTAGCGTTGCAACAATGCTCAATGGTACCAAGGGGCCCAAAGGGTGCCAAGAAAATATTCCCCACACCATGACACCACCACCACCAGCCTGAACCGTTGATACAAGACAGGATGGATCCATGCTTTCATGTTGTAGACGCCAAATTCTGACCCTACCATCCGAATGTCGCAGCAGAAATCGAGACTCATCAGACCAGGCAACGTTTTTCCAATCTTCTATTGTCCAATTTCGATGAGCTTGTGCAAATTGTAGCCTCAGTTTCCTGTTCTTAGCTGAAAGGAGTGGCAACCGGTGTGGTCTTCTGCTGCTGTAGCCCATCTGCCTCAAAGTTCCACGTACTGTGCGTTCAGAGATGCTCTTCTTCCCACCTTGGTTGTAACGGGTGGTTATTTGAGTCACTGTTGCCCTTCTATCAGCTCGAACCAGTCTGGCCATTCTCCTCTGACCTCTGGCATCAACAAGGCATTTCTGCCCACAGAACTGCCGCTCACTGGATGTTTTTTCTTTTTTGGACCATTCTCTGTAAACCCTAGAGATGGTTGTGCGTGAAAATCCCAGTAGATCAGCAGTTTCTGAAATACTCAGACCAGCCCTTCTGGCACCAACAATCATGCCACGTTCAAAGTCACTCAAATCACCTTTCTTCCCCATACTGATGCTTGCTTTGAACTGCAGGAGATTGTCTTGACCATGTCTACATGCCTAAATGCACTGAGTTGCCGCCATGTGATTGGCTGCTTAGAAATTAAGTGTTAACGAGCAGTTGGACAAGTGTACCTAATAAAGTGGCCGGTGAGTGTATTTACATTGTTTTGTGCACATTTGTGCACAGCTTCTTTCCCAACCATGAAATGTTGAAAAGACATTTCAGTCACAACAGCCCAAAAACATGCAGAGACCTGAGGTACTCAGGGCAGATCTCATCCACCCCCAAAGAGGTGGTCCAAAGCCACCTCTGTGACTCCAGTCTGGAAGATAAACACGTCCGTCTCTGAGCATCCAGTCTCTGCTTCTTCCAGGAAAGGTCTTCAAAGTATTCCTTCCACCATCCAACGAGGTAAGTCAAGGTAAGCAGATCCCTGTTCCCTCTAAAAACATTTTTAGCAAAGAAAGAACTATCAAAAACAAAACTAGAGTGAAAAAATAAAAAATAAATCTGCGAGAAATAAATCCAGGTACAGAAAAGAGAAAAACCCAAGAAAAAACATGATATCATGACGCAAATAACAAGAGTTGATTGTCAACAAAAATGGCAGAACAATATTGAACATAAATAAACAACAACAAAATGCTAAAACAACAACAAAAAAAGAGGTGGAGGTCTAAGTTGTAATCAACTGCAGCAATCCCTGTCTTATCTTTGTGGTTTACATTTTTCAGACCTTATTGTCATTCTTAGGTAATGTATTCAATGCTTTACTGCGACACCAGTTTTCACATTTATAAAGCATAGTTTTCTGATATTTGGGTAATCCAGCAGGATTAGAGGTTACATAAGCAAACAGATAAATGAATGCATTTCGACAGCCGAGCACATGACTTTACTTCCCTCCCTAATTAAAAATTCCACAATGCCAAACAATTAAAAGCCCAACATAGCAAATACAAACCAATCTAAATGCATTATACTGTCGAGATGCCTCTGGGGGACATGCATACGGAAGAAAAATGAACCAGTGGACCAGATGAGATAAGGCCTGTTAAGTCTAAGCGTGGTTAATATGGGCTGCTTTCGAGCAAGATTGCTCATATTATTTAATCTTTTGTTTTTCTAACATACACAGCTTTATTTGGGGACAGACCATTTAGCACCAGCTTAACTAATGATCTCTTTATCATCCATGTTTAAATGCTTAAGGCATTGGAGTAAAGTGGCATAGGTTCAAATGCTGACTGGTTATTTAGACTGGATATCTATCAACAGCCTGCAGCCAACATACCAACAATGACTATCTGTGTTTACCATTACCAGAAATGTTATATATTCAAACAGCCAACTTTTTCGTTCTTGCAAGAGATAGAAAGGTGTAAGAAGTGTCTTTTTTCAGCCAGCTGTATGGCAGTAAGCAGCAACAGATGCTGTACAGCATATATTATATTATCCCACCCAGGGGGCCAGGGCCAGCTGTGGCCTAGGCTGTATAGGCAAATGCTAATGCCGGGCATACATGGTGCGATATTTTCAATTGTTGCATGCAGCTGCAGCTCACACTGGACGACGCAACCGCAGAGTTTAAAAGTTCACAGCTCACAATGTTTGTTCACACACTGTGTGGCCCAATGCTCTGATGCGATCTATCTGCTCACACCGTACGTCTAAAAACATCGTCGGACTGAGATGGCACTACTCAGGCTCGTGTATCCGAAAGCCAAACGAGTAGAAGAGGAATATAAAGCTAACTAGAGCGAAACGCGCTGCTTTGGCAATTTGGGTATTTTTGTGCTGGAAGCCAAAAAAGAAAAGGTGCTGAAGTATTTGGACAAAGACATGGCTGAGCAGACGTAGATACTACGGTCTGTTCATTTTAGAGAAAGAACTCTATTTCCCTCATTGCACCCCCGCCATGCTTCTGGGTTTTCATCTGAGAGGAAGAAGAAGAAGAATCCTTGTTTGCGCACTGAGCGATTTGCCCACGACCACCTTATGAGGGCCGACTGAATTTCAAACATGCTTCATTTTCACCTGACCTCATGATTCCTGATGGGGCGGTAATGAAGAGGCTAATTGCCGCTCGTTACCCCCTGTACACCACACGATGCACAATCAGGATTTATTTATTCATTTGAATCTGTTTTTATTGTTTCTCAAAAAATAAAAGAAAAACTCCAGTCAAAGACTATTCAATTTTTTTATCTGAGCATGTAAACTAGCATTGCAATTTAGAGTGATGCATGTGGGGTCACTATGGAGTCAGAAAGGGGTCGAAAACTTCTTAATCTTAGTTCAAACTGAGAAAATAAAATTTTAAATTGAAAAAAGAATAGTATAATGATATTTAAAGTCAATTTCTTATGTTATAATGTTAGAAAAAACGAAAAAGCGTAATTAAAATACCAAACTGAATTATTAGTTTTTTCAAGCTGAGGGGAAGAATTAAGATTAAATTCTTATTTTTTTATGTTTGCTTTTGAGTTTCTCAGATTATAGGTAAAAAAAATTGACATTCAATAACAACTTATAGTTTTTCAGTTTCAACTTTTATTTTTTCAGTTTCAACTAAGATCTATAAGTTTACAAACATTTTGACCCCTTTTTGACTCCAAACCTCAAATCTTGCCTATTGGGCGCCAAATTGGTTAGGGCCGGCCCTGCTGGGGCCTTTCCTGGCCTCAATAAAAGAATCAGATTTTAAATCTGACTTGTGTGGCATAGTGGCTGTGCTTCTCTTTTTTAAGCATATTGAGGGCTTTTGGTTATCTGAAAAGGACATCACCTTGTGACGTTACCTGCGTAAATCCCCTTCATGGCTGACTCACACATGAGAAATAACACGCGCGCGCACATGCATAGTGAGCGTAGCTGCGTTGTGAGCGCGTGGAGGAGGAGGAGAAAGAGGAGGAGGAGGAGGAGGAGAAAGAAGAGGAGGAGGGAGCACAGCGGGGCGCGCTGAGCGGCAGACAGCATCAGTACAGCGCAGCAGAGCGCAGCGGAAGGACACACTGATCTCCAAGGAGAGAAGACATCAGCTCTACTTGCTGAACATTGGCAAAAACCGAAGAAAAGAAAAAAAGAGAGCGAGAAAGAAAAGGTTTTTCTGTCCCAGCTGAGAAGAAGTCTGCAAAATTGAGAATTTAGCAAATTTCCTGAAGTCGTTGCGTTTGTTTGGAAACTAGTCAAACAAAGCAGCCAGTTGGAGACGCTGATGCCCAAAGATGAGACCCGGAGGGAGTTTTTTCTGGTCCTCAGGTGGAGCAGAGTCCGGTAGGTTGCGCGTCTCTCGGTCACCTTCTGAAATAATGACTTATGAGAACGTGCGCGTCCCGCCGGCGCGCGTGTGACTGACTGACCGACAGTGTTTCCGAGAGAGAAAGAGGTTTGATCTAAGCAGCAGTCAGAATCAGCAGCAGACTCCTCTCCTCTCCTCTCATCTCCTCTCCTCTCCTCTCATCTCCTCTCCTCTCCTCAGACCCATGCAGGATGCCCGGGCAGCGCCGCCGGGGAGCGCTGGTCCAGCTCAGACCGAGTTCATGACGCTCCGGGCGGCCTCGTGATGCGTTTGTTGCCCGAGCCCAGCGCCCATTCCCTTTGGCTTCTCTTCCTTTTTATCTTCGTGATGGGGGTGGCCCCCTCTCCGGCACTCACCGCCGGCTGCCCAGACGGATGCGTGTGCGACGACCAGCTGGTGGTCCAGTGCGCGGGGCAGGATCTGACTCTGTTTCCCAGCGACCTGCCCCTGGCGACCCGGCAGCTCATTCTCTCCAACAACCGCATAGGGGACCTACCGGCCCTCCAGCTCAACTACCTGTCCGACCTGGTTTATCTAGATTGTAGCAACAACTCGCTGACAGAAATCTCCGAGTCCACTTTTGGGAACTTGCGGAAACTCGCGTACTTGGACTTGTCCTTTAACACCCTCCTGCAGATCGAAGACCGGACTTTCGGGCCTCTGGTGTCTCTGGTGATGCTCCGGATGACGGACAATCCGAGTCTGGGGGAGATCCACCCGGATGCTTTTTCGGAGAACTTTGCTCTGCAGGTCCTGGATGTGAGCAGGAACAACCTGACGGTGCTGAACATCAGCAACCTGATCGCCCTGCCTGCGCTGCGCTCCCTGGGCCTCAGTGGGAACCCGTGGAGGTGTGACTGTGACACGGAGGACCTCTGCCTCTGGGTGCAGATAGAGGGATTCAAGTTTCAAGGTGAGGCCGGTAGAAAAAAGCTGTCAGATCAGGTAGTTTGCAGTCATCATTTTAATTAACACCGCAGGATGAAAGATTTCCTGCACCTTTATTTGGTAAAAATTCTTCTTTTTTAAAAACCATGACATTTGTTATACTTGTAGGTTAAACGCAAATCTGAAAGACAAATGATCTCTGTGCTTTTCACACCTATTACTATCAGTTTCACTTAAATTATAAGTTAATTTAGTTCCTAATGCCGCCAGGAATCTGGGGCCCCATGAAAGACATTGATTTTGCTTTGTTATTTATTTAACTGCTGGATTTTCTTTTAATATTTTAAATATTGGGACATATCTTTTCTTCTTTTTTGGGCTCCACCTCCACCAGGGGCCCTTAGAATCTTCCTAACCTAGATTCTGCCATATGCCAGGGGGATACGGTGCCCGGCTTTACTCTCCAAGTGACCTCCAGTTGGTTTCTAAAGAGATTTACAGAAGAATTTAAGTCATTTTCTCTTTTTTTCAGATCTCAACCACAAACTTTAATGCATTTTACATTAGAAGCTTGTTAGAGACCTTTGTTATAAAAATGACACCATTAGTTTTCCAGGCCAAGGACCCCCAAACTGATGGCGAGATGGAGCAGGGAACCCCCTAATTATATATATTGTATGAAATAATGTTCTATCAAACTGGTCCTATAGTCACTATTACAGATGGAGTAATGCAAAGAAAGTAATCCCTCCCTGGGATTATTAAAGTATTTCTGATTCCTGGTTGATGGGACAGGTGTTGTGAATGAAACGGTGCCCAGCTTGAAAGAGCTCCTGTGTGTCTCTGAATGTGTGCATTGATGACTGAAAGACATCTGCCTCCATTTGTCTGTTTACTACAGTCTGTTGAATTAATGTTAATTTTATTAAAGACATTTCAATTAGTGGAAAAAATCTAATCAACCAAAATTTTGGTGACCCCATGGAGTATCTCCGTTGACCCCCTAGGTGTCGCGGACGCCCTGTTAAGGACCTCTGGTTTATGGAATGGAGCAGGGAGGTCAGAATGAAGGAAGTAGAGTTAGGTTCTTCTTCAATATGCATGTACATCCCATGAAAAAAGAAACACAAATTGGAGGGAAAAGCACAAACCCACCAAGAAGTGAGCATCCTCATAATCTGACAATCCAGTCAAGGATGCATGCCCTGTGTGAGCTGCAGCAAGCAGACCTTTATTGATCGGCTTCAGAAACAAAGAGCTATTGTTGAATTGCAGACATAAAAAACAGCTGAAAGTTATAGAGGCATATGTGGGACACAACAAGCGTGTGAAAAAGGCAGGCTGGGAAAAAATGTTTTTTACAGAATTTAAATAAATTTTACAATGAAACTGTAAACACTTATTTTATCACCACCTTAATAGATGATTATATCAGCAGCATAATGGAACAGTTTCTTTAACAGGAAAGGTGGTCAGAGTGGTTGGAGATATTTAATGTGGGGCATGGACGTAATTAAGAGGGGTGGACATGTCCCCTGCACTGTTTCAAACGAGAGTTTGAAACGTTTTATTGTCCAAAAACAGTGTTACGCTACACAGACATTCATCGAGCACTATGACCAAGTGGGAAACAGCTCAAGTTGAAGCCTGCTTCCCTGATTTTAGACCGCCCACAAGCTTTTCTTGTGTTATTGGCTGTTAAACACGCTGAAGTTCGTTGTATTAAAAAATACCTTTGTCCCCCCCCACTTCTGAAATCAAAATTTCATCCATGAATACAGGACATTTCTGGACCAGTGTGATTCCAGCAGAGCTACAATATGGTTAACATTAAAGCAGCTTCATTTCTCTGGAATTGTGTAGTCAAAGTAAATCCCTAACCTATACACTATGTAAAAGATTATGGTTGTTTATGGTTATGGTTAAGTGGCAACATACAGAACATTTTAAAGGAAAGGTGCGCTCATATTCAGAACTCAAACTTCTGAACTTTAGATATGAAATTATTCCATACTGTTCAATAATTAATGGCTTTTTAATTCAGAGTAATTTTCATGAATGTGCTTTACTGGAGGCATCCATGTTTGTCAAAGAACACTACTGCCACCTACTGGTTTGTGTCGTCACTAGGCTTGTCCCGATCCGATCCACGTATCGGATCGGGACGCCGATATTGGCAAAAAAATGCGTATCGGCAAAGCATGTAAAATGCCGATCCAGACTGCCGATCCAGTTTTAAAAAAAAAATCTGGTCCGTATTTTCCAGTTTCGCCGATTGAAACGATCCATTCCACTATTTTGCGCCAGTGTTCCCCTGTTTTGCATTTTTATTAAAACTTACAGTAATACTTGCACCTTTAACTGTTTACGGTTTTACTGTTCACTGTGCAATTTCAGATTGCTATTCATAATTTTGTCCAGTTTGTGTTTATCTCTTAATAAACAGGTAAGTTTGTTGTTACCAATCATTGTGTTTTATTCAATCTCACCTAATTTAGCTGGCTAGATGTTATCAAGAGTACTAAAACCCTTTTCAACATGAGTCTTACAACTAAGGCTAAATACTTTAACTTAAACTTAAACTCGGATAGGCTGGTATCGGCCAGTATCGGTATCGGATCGGAAGTCCAAAAACAATATCGGTATCGGATAGGAAGTGCAAAAACCTGGATCGGGACATCTCTAGGCGTCACGGTGCGGTATCGGCTGTTGATCAAGTCCCAGTGCTGTATCTGGTGTTTGTCACAACGCGCTATTATCCAAGTCATCTTGAAAACATTCTTCTTCCAAATGTTGGCTACATATTACGGGTTTTTTCTCTGGCCAGAAGTTCGATGGCAAATCCTCCCTCTTCAAGTTGGCGATCCAACGACCAACCCGTCCGTGAATCAGAAAGGTTGAGTAACTCATTAAAACATCCAGCTGCCATGCATGTGGGCATTGTCAGTTTCACTATAGCTCTGGTGAATTTCAATGGTGAAGTCCTCTGGAAATCTTCAATAATTGTTGTTGATTGCAGATGTGTCTAGTAGTTCCCATTGATTAAGCTTGTAAAGCGGGGAGAATGGCGCTAGGCTTACCGCACCGTGACGTCACTGCTGGAAGATGGCAGGAGGGAGGGGTTACTATATTTGGGCAAAAATGGCCGCTCCCACACTCCCAGTGATCACGACAAAAATTATTATTTTTAAATTTTTTTACTGATTAACACTACATTCCTTAAATCAGAGTGAACGTATTGGCTGTAGGTATAAATAATGATCCATTGATAATTCCTGCTGACCAGACTTTTCCTTTAATGAGCGCGGATGTTGTTTTTCTTTTTTTTAAAGTTCATTAGATGCAGTTTTTTTGGAAAACACCCCAAAAACTCATTGACCTCCGAATCGGATCAGTCCAAAGATTTTCTTAAAGCGAATCCTTCAACATGCACCCCTCAAACTGTCCTTGACTTCTCCATAAGGGTTTAGTGGCTTTTTGCCAACATGTCCTTAGACTTAGAGCATTAAAATATAAAGAGGGTCTTATCAGGGTAACACCCAGAAATCAGTTAAAACATGACGTTTCCGTCCCGGTGAGGACAAGAGCTATCTCTGTAAATGTTAATAGAGCTTACCTCTACAGCAGGTGAACTGAGGCCAGCGCTTCTACAATATGTGTGTTGCTTATTATAGTTGAAGCGTTCCTCCCATGAAAGCTACCTCCCCGTTTATAGAAAGCCTGAGGGCAGTGACAGCGTTTAAGGGATGACTGTGTACCTTTAGGACCAGTTTTTTTTTTTTTTTTACTGCTAGAATCACAAAGGTTCATCTGTGTCTGTTTGTGAAAACAGAAAATGACCCAGGGGATGATAATAATGATGCTCAGAAAAGCTGGACATGCGTGCACCTGTGTGTGCACGTATCAGTCTGTGGGCTGAGGGAACCTGGGCCGAGACGAGGAGCTGCAGAGGAATCCCTCCTCCGAGTCCCTAAAGTTGTTATCCGCCTCCAGCTGAGCTAGACTCAGAAAAGTGTTGCCCGTAAACACAGAGCACACACTGTCAGGTACTTACTGCTGCAGTCTGCTGTGTGATTTCCCAGACAATCACCTAAACAGATTACTGCAACAAAAAGAACTCAATAACTTAACTGAATTGGACTGAACGCAATGGAAAAAAGAAGAAAGAAAAGTACAATGTTGCTGATGTAGTTTTCTTTCAGAGTAAATAATTTCAATTCAATTCAGTTTATTTCTATAGCGCCAATTCACAACACATGTCATCTCAAGGCACTTTACAATTCAACCAGATCATACAGTCAGATTGATTTAAAGTTTTCTACCTAAGGAAAACCAGTTGATTGCATCGACTCTTTGACTCTTCAGCAATCCCTCACACTAAGCATGCAGTGGAGAGGAAAAACTCCCTTTTAACAGACAGAAACCTCCAGCAGCACAGCTGATATTTCTCTCCAGGATGGAGTCTCAGCCAAACAGGAACAGACCAGATGAAACTACTATGATGAGAAAAAGCAGAGAGAGCAGAACGTTAGAGATTGAACTAACAGATTCTGCAGAGTGGGAGAATAGATATAGAATGAAGCAGAATGAGAAAAAAGGGGTCCCTATGTCCTCCAGCAGTCTAAGCCTATAGCAGCATAACAATAGAGATAGCTCAGGATAACCTGAGAAACTCTTAAGTATAAGCTTTATCAAAGCGTATAGTTCGAGTGGCTCAGGTAAATATAGCATCAGGGGTTTACATACATGACCATGACTTAAAAATGAGGAAAAACTGTTTGACTTTATGCAATGGACGTCACTGTGGATATTTACCCACAATAATAGCTTCTAAATTACACACATATACTGTATATATATAGGCTCCAGGACATACAAAGACTACATGTCAGCTTCGATACTTTTTGGAGCCACCAATAAGCTCCTGGTACATTTCTGGCTGAAAATATGTTCACTCTTATCATATTGGCCAGGTACAATTAAACAGTTTTTTTATGATATTAGGTTTTAATACAATTAATTGGA